GGGGCGGTACCTTTTCAAAAGGTACATGTTTGTACCTAAAGAGTTTATTTTGGTACCTTAAAGGTACATATTTGTTCTTAAAGTGTACATATTAGAACTTAATAGGTTTCAAAAGTGTACCTTTTGACAAGGTATCACCCCAGTCTACTTAAGATTGTTGAACTTCTGGCCCAACTCGGGTGTGGAAATGCTGTTCTAATACTCTGAGACATGTGTTGATATAAACATTGAATTGCAAATAACTTTATGTCTGTTTTATAGCTACGTCTGCTTTCCCTGCTGAAAAAAATTCAGCTAAAATCAACTTAGGTTGATTGCTATGTTTTGGAACTAGCAGTGCTGTTATCGTTTACTAAAGCTAAAACTAAACTAATACAGCATGTTTGTTGTCTTTAATAAAAAAAAAAAATTTGAAATAAAAAAAAGTGTGCGCTAAATCTAATGTTTTCAGAAATGTAAGCGCATATTACTTGTAATTAAATTAAAATGTATTATAGTTTACTTATACATTAAACTTGAGAATGACCAACTTTAATACACCTTCGTATTTAATTTCATAATTATTTCTATTGTCTTTGAAATATGGATCATTTGTATTTCTGAATGTACTGACAAGCAGTTATGGTAAACTAAAATTTGAAAAACCTAAACAACTTTAAGAAACATTTTTAATTGAAATGAAAACTAGAAATGTTTTCTTGGCAACTAACTGAAATAAGTTTAGGCCAAGACCCTCCTCTCCGTCCCACGCCATGCTGCCATTTTTCTCTAATTGTGCTTGGAGGACGTCTCGAGGAGGCTGCAACTGCTTATATGCTCATTTATATAAACGCCTCCACTGTCTCCATGCAGTCTCTTGTGTGGCATTGTTTGCATTTATGGTGATTAGATGGAATGACAACTCTGGGCATGCCAAGTGTGATGCAGGGCTCTTTTCTGCATGTTTACATTACATCACATGTAGGTTTGTTTGTCTGTGTAATTGCTTGCCTCCAGGTTGAACTGGAATGGAGTGTACAGTACAATCTCTGAAATAAAAGTACAAAAAGCTGTCACTGGGGCGGTACCTTTTCAAAAGGTACATGTTTGTACCTAAAGAGTTTATTTTGGTACCTTAAAGGTACATATTTGTTCTTAAAGTGTACATATTAGAACTTAATAGGTTTCAAAAGTGTACCTTTTGACAAGGTATCACCCCAGTGACAGCTTTTGTACCTTTATTTCTGAGAGTGTAATAATTGTGAATATTTTTCTGGTTGTTGTATATGCTTAGTAATCAAATACAAAAAATAAAAGTAAATAATTATACAAATCGAATGACTATAAACACAAAAAGAAATAGGCATTAACTACTGATTTGATTTTTTTATGTCTATATTTACCTAGCACATTGTACAAGAAAAACAAACGTATATGTAATTGTCAGTCATCATAGAAAAAACATTAACCTGCTGAATGCTGCAATCAATCAGAATTGATTGTTATAGACATTCATGCGATAATATGTGTATTAATTTGTATATGTGTATATACTGTATATATTAGTTAGTTAGCATTTTATATAGATATATATGAAAATTATTGCACATATATATGCAGTAAGCAATAACACTGCCTATTGTGATGTCAAAACAGAATGCATTATGCATTTCAAATAGTACATTATTGTAACATGGTTGCATTGCCTGTTTATATCAGTGTCCAGTTACATCCCAGATCAAGATATTATTTCTTTCTTCAATTTTGTGCGCAAAAATGTTTGCAGTGCAATTAAATAGTGAGGAAGGAGTCATTAGAAATCATATCTAATGTCTACGCTGACTAAGTGCATTCTATTGTTGTCAAATCTGTCAAATTTGTTCAGCCTTCTGCAAAAAACTAAGCGGGTTAGGCTATGTGACTGCATTTCTAAGGCATTCTGTACAGAGAATGTAAAATGCATAGAGGCAGGCATGATTTCCAAACATCAGACATCCAATTTGACTATTGTTTTCAAAATTACGAGGAACGATTTAATGGGTTTTCTATGGTCACCCTGAAATGAGAACTATTTATAAGCAATGTGGTTAAACAGGCAAAAGAATAAAAATACAGACTGTATTGAGTCATTATACAATACAAAACAGGACATTGTAGCCTTTCTCTCTGCGCTATTTGACAAGGTTCATGCAGTGAGACACTGAACCAGTTATAGAGTTTAAATGGCAACTCAACTGAGCCACAATAAAGCAGCTTTATTTCACAATAGATACAAATAAACAAGCTCATTTGGACATAAAGAGAATGACTTCCAGACCACAAAGATTACACTGACGCCTCCCTCTGACAGCCCCTCAACCGCAGCCTCGTTCTGGGACTAAAACCGCACCCCCTCCAGTCCACACTCCTTAAAGTGTTTTGCTGTGAGTGTCATCGAGAAAGCATGGGACTGTGTGTATAAAGTGCTTGATTTGCATTTGCCAATGATTTCATTGACTCGAGAGGCAGATCTAAACTCATGAACTCTTCTGTGGAACAGTCTTGAGAGAGGAGACTTTCTCCATATGAGATGTGATGTTTTATTTTGGATGCAGTGCTGATATCCTTTGCTGTTGAGCTCCATGGTTCCTCCTGGGCTTGTATTCAAAGATCCAGAATCACGTGGCCGAGCTCCCAAGTGAATTTCAGAGCGTTATGACAGTGCCAGAAGAGTTTTTTGGACTGATGGTGAGCATCACATGACCTTGATTTAATGGCTCCCTCTGGTGCAATCCACACATATTCTCCAGCTTTCCACACATGCCTGACCTGCTCTGTGCATTCCCTACAAAAATGTCTCTGAAGAAGGAATTTTTGCTTTGCTCTACTTAAGATTGTTGAACTTCTGGCCCAACTCGGGTGTGGAAATGCTGTTCTAATACTCTGAGACATGTGTTGATATAAACATTGAATTGCAAATAACTTTATGTCTGTTTTATAGCTACGTCTGCTTTCCCTGCTGAAAAAAATTCAGCTAAAATCAACTTAGGTTGATTGCTATGTTTTGGAACTAGCAGTGCTGTTATCGTTTACTAAAGCTAAAACTAAACTAATACAGCATGTTTGTTGTCTTTAATAAAAAAAAAAATTTAAATTAAAAAAAGTGTGCGCTAAATCTAATGTTTTCAGAAATGTAAGCGCATATTACTTGTAATTAAATTAAAATGTATTATAGTTTACTTATACATTAAACTTGAGAATGACCAACTTTAATACACCTTCGTATTTAATTTCATAATTATTTCTATTGTCTTTGAAATATGGATCATTTGTATTTCTGAATGTACTGACAAGCAGTTATGGTAAACTAAAATTTGAAAAACCTAAACAACTTTAAGAAACATTTTTAATTGAAATGAAAACTAGAAATGTTTTCTTGGCAACTAACTGAAATAAGTTTAGGTTGAATTGCTAAAACCATAACTAAAATAAAATAAATTAAATCTAAACAGAAATATAAAAGTGACAGAAGCACGTGACAAAATTAGTCAAACTAAAATGAAAACTAAAGATATAAAAATGTAATCAAATTCAAGCAATTCATAAATACAAGAAATAATACTAAAATAACACTGCTGATCCAAGCTAGTGTAGGTGGTTGATATTCTGATGCAATTAACATTTTTACAAACAATATACATAAAAATTTTTTCATTAATATAGGGAAATATTTGTAATTTATTGTTATACAATCGAATGGCTGTCAATGGCGAAATATGCTTTTTGCAATCTGATTCTGTAGTTACAGTGTCTACCAACAGGGGCTAACTAACCATGCTAACCAGCCATACCCTGAATCATTGTGACTTTAGTTGAATCAGTCACATCTCCAAAACATGATGACAGCAAGCAGGTTGTGTTCACATGCCAGACGAGCAGCTGCCACTGAGATCAAAATTCCTTTGACGTCCTTCTCACAACTTCCTTCTCTACCAGCTGGTAAACAACATTTGGACCACCAGCTAATAAGAAAGCCCTACTTAAGATTGTTGAACTTCTGGCCCAACTCGGGTGTGGAAATGCTGTTCTAATACTCTGAGACCTGTGTTGATATAAACATTGAATTGCAAATAACTTTATGTCTGTTTTATAGCTACGTCTGCTTTCCCTGCTGAAAAAAATTCAGCAAAAATCAGCTTAGGTTGATTGCTATGTTTTGGAACTAGCAGTGCTGTTATCGTTTACTAAAGCTAAAACTAAACTAATACAGCATGTTTGTTGTCTTTAATAAAAAAAAAAATTTAAATTAAAAAAAGTGTGCGCTAAATCTAATGTTTTCAGAAATGTAAGCGCATATTACTTGTAATTAAATTAAAATGTATTATAGTTTACTTATACATTAAACTTGAGAATGACCAACTTTAATACACCTTCGTATTTAATTTCATAATTATTTCTATTGTCTTTGAAATATGGATCATTTGTATTTCTGAATGTACTGACAAGCAGTTATGGTAAACTAAAATTTGAAAAACCTAAACAACTTTAAGAAACATTTTTAATTGAAATGAAAACTAGAAATGTTTTCTTGGCAACTAACTGAAATAAGTTTAGGTTGAATTGCTAAAACCATAACTAAAATAAAATAAATTAAATCTAAACAGAAATATAAAAGTGACAGAAGCACGTGACAAAATTAGTCAAACTAAAATGAAAACTAAAGATATAAAAATGTAATCAAATTCAAGCAATTCATAAATACAAGAAATAATACTAAAATAACACTGCTGATCCAAGCTAGTGTAGGTGGTTGATATTCTGATGCAATTAACATTTTTACAAACAATATACATAAAAATTATTTCATTAATGTAGGGAAATATTTGTAATTTATTGTTATACAATCGAATGGCTGTCAATGGCGAAATATGCTTTTTGCAATCTGATTCTGTAGTTACAGCGTCTACCAACAGGGGCTAACTAACCATGCTAACCAGCCATTCCCTGAATCATTGTGACTTTAGTTGAATCAGTCACATCTCCAAAACATGATGACAGCAAGCAGGTTGTGTTCACATGCCAGACGAGCAGCTGCCACTGAGATCAAAATTCCTTTGACGTCCTTCTCACAACTTCCTTCTCTACCAGCTGGTAAACAACATTTGGACCACCAGCTAATAAGAAAGCAGGTACCAAGTTTTGAAAAACAACTTCCACCTTAATCTGATTTTAGCTGGATTTTCTAGCAGTTTTCAAAATCAAAGGTGAGATAAGGTTTTGACTGGAAACCTTGCTGCTGGTGTATGTGTGTAAGTATGTGTGCCAGAGGAATTTGTGTTGTCAGCTGGATGGGTTGAGCATCTCAGTAGGTCACGTCCCTGTTGATCATGTCCAATCACTGTGTCAGGGGCCTCTGGAGTGAATCAGCAGCAAGAAGTATGCTGCCGATAAGTCAAGCACTGAATAAGCCTCTAACTGTACCCATGGGGAGTGATCATGTGTTATAAAGAATGAAGCTCTCCATTGGGTTCTACTTCTAACCCATGAATGAGGGCATCTCATCTACTTGAAAGATAAAGTTAATCATTTCTGTAATTATCGTCGCTTATGTGGTTTTAAATGATTGTAGGTTTTATGCAAAGATATTCCTATTAACAAGAGCTAAAACAGTTAATGCATTTATGAATTACAAATGTGGCTTGTTCACAAAGTAATCACAGCTTTGTTTTTGTTGAGCTGTAGAATGCATATTTAACTTTTCCCCTGTAGAATTCATAATAGCTAAATTATGTCATAATAAAGAGAGTTAGATTTAGGGAAAGAGCAAAGAAAATATTATTAGATCAGTATAAAAACAACAGAAGGTGGACAATTATTTTGTTTTTGTATTATGGGTCATTTCGTGTCAAATCAACCAAATTTCAGAAACTTCCCCAGCTCAATATATTTGATTTGGTCAATATTTTTTTTGAAGAAAGTTGGATATATTTGTTGCAGTATATGCCAGTGGTGACTATTCAAAAGTTTGCATGCCTGTACCTCAAGAAGTATTAATTCCCTTTTACATTTTGGGTCTTAACAAACTTTCCTTTAGTCATATTTATGATCCTTCATATTTAAGGCACTATATGGTTCAGGTCCAGAGATATTGCAATTTCTATATGGCTTCAGGAGTAAATTTGACAAATTTTCAGTGTTCAAAAACCAAATATTATTAAAATTTTAAATAACTGTTTTCGATTTGATGATGTCTTAAAATGTCATTTATTTCTGTGATAACAAACCTGAACATTTTCAACATCGTTACTCCAGTCTTCAGTGTCACATGGTCTTTCAGAAATCATTCTAATATGCTGATTTGTGAAAACTGTGAAACTTTTTTTCATAATTCATTGATGAATGGGAAGTTCAAAAGAATAGCATTTATTTACAAAAGGTTTTTTGTAAGTATAAAAGTCTTTACTGTCACTTTTGAAAGAAAGTGGGAATGCATATACAATACAATGATGAGAAGGCCCGAACTTACTGAAACGGTGTCTCCACTTTCTTTACAAATTAACTTCATAATCATGACCCTTTGACCTTTTGTGTTATTTTTCCCAGTGGTTCAGAAAGCAGCACTTTATCTCATTGTTTAAGGTCTTCTCATTCCCCGACTGTGCGGGAAATGTTCAATCAGCCCCATGTGTCCTCCACATTTCCTCACATCGTAGTGGCTCGTCTCCAGGCCTGTTCTTCTCTGCACCCACTTTATGACCTTGTTTGCTTTTGTTAAAGGCTCCAGCTGGCCCGGCCGGTTCAGAGGACCACAGATGCACATCCCTTTTCATTTTGTGCGGCGGTCCACACTTCTCACTGCTTTCCTGTCTCTTTATGTGTGGTCCCTGCCAACAGTTTTGGCCGCAGTGCGTGCTAATGACCAGTGAAGATGTGAAGTATAGCTGACAGGGTCTGGTTTGTGCCCCACAGCCACATCTAGAGAGACTTTTTGTTCTAAACATGAGGTTAATGGAGCAGACAGGTTATGTGTGGCAGGGCCCCAGCCACGGTCTAAGCTAACTGTGACGGCAGACGATTGGACCAAATGAGTGTTTGTTAAGGTTTCAGGAAGTTTTCTCTACTTTGTTGATGCTAACTTCAGCCAAGGAATGTGTATGTCTCCAAAAGAGGGTTTTCGCGTCAGTGCCTAAGAAGAACCATTTCTGACTGGTTCAAAGAACAATTTTAGTGAACAATTCTTAAAAGAGACATTTTGTTCTTAGTGTAAAACCATTATCCACTATAAAGAACCATTTGTACAATAGGAATATTCTATGGATGTTTAAAATTCTTCATGGAACCAAAGATGCCAGTAAAGAACTTTTATTTTAAAGGGTGTAGGGACACAGATACCATTATTAATGTTATTATTGTACCACTAAATTGATTTGGATGTGTCTTATTTGATAGGCCTAAAATAAAATAAAAAATAAAATAAAATCTGGCATAGATTTAAAATGTATAAACTTTAATAAAAAAAAATTACAATTGAATGTTTCTTGGTAGAATGTGGCAAAATCACAATTTAAGGGATTTAAGTTGTACTTAGACCTTTAGATGATCTAATTATAGTAAGCATTGGTAAAATTGCAAATTGATGCAAATAAAGAACCTTTATTTTAAAAGACATGGATCCTTGCTTCTGAAAACGTTTCCTGGAAAAATTATCCTTTTTTATTATTATTATTGTTAAATCACTGGCATAAGGGAAATGAATCAGGACATACGCAAGCCAGACTCAAACAGCTCTGACAAACAACTTTGAATTGCATGCCGTTATTGAATTAATCAGTTATTTTGATTAATTTGCAGTTTATTTACTTGTCGCCACACAAAATTAGACCAAAAGTGTATGTGCCTCTGTCGTGACAGTATGATCTTTCAGACAATGTAACTCCAAGTTCAAATCCAATTTGCTTTTATACTCACTTTTTTGTAAACGAGTCCCTGGAAAGGCCCATATTATAGTAGTGCAATGCCACTGGCTTGAAAAGAATGTGACTGAATCTTTCCTATAAACAGCCCAGAAACATCCCGCCAGTGAAGGACATCTGAGGTGGCAGTCCAAGGTCATATTTTCCAGTCTAGCCTTGGACAGGAGACGCCGCCTTTGCAGAATAACTTCTTTCGTTTGTGTCTGTCTGTACCGCAACACGTGTGTTAGCTCTTTAGGAGGATGTAGTCTGTCAGCAGCTTTCAGACTCTTAAAATACTCGATTTCTGATCGTTCAGCCACAACATTGTCAATGTTATTGTTGTACCACTAAATTGATTTGGATGGGTCTTATTTGATGGGTAAAAAATAAAATAATAATACAATTAAAATAATTCTGGTAGTAATTTAAACTGTATTATTTGTTTTCATTTTAAAAATTACAATTAATAATTTATTTATTGGTAGAACGTGGCAAAATCAGACAAATCAGGGTTTCCAGCTGTATTTAGACCTATAGATTAGCAATTGTAGTAAGTGTTGAAAAATTGCAAATATAGCCTAAATGTAACGAAACAGCTCGTGTAATCTTCAGTTTGAGGTTCATTATCAGTGTTTCAGAGCCTGTTGTATCGAAATGAATCTCGTCTTCCGAGTCAAATTATTTGTTCGATAAAATGCTGCCATCTAGTGGATGTAATGTCCTTTAGCCAGTGACATTATAAAGTCAACTAAAGCAGCGTGTTTATCATCGGATTGAATGGAAAAGATGGCCACTTTGACTTGTCAGTAACATTTTACTACTGAAAGCTTAAACAAAGCAATAGTCACAGTATTATGTAGTTCAGTCCAGTCAACAGCGTGTTTATATATTTTAAATCATTTACTACATTGTAATATAATGCTAGCTCCATCCAGATGCCACGATTGTTCTCACAACGTATATCTTTTGAGCTTTGTCCAGAGAAGAGTATTTTTTTCATTTACATGCATTTAGAAATGTATACCAACAGAAGTGAACCGAGAAAGTCAAAGATTTATTTAGTTTAGGACATCAAAAAAGGAAAAAAAAAAAAAAGTTTAGGCATTTGTCATTCAATTGTATCCCTCCAAAAAGGTATATCAATTACAAGCAAAAATACCATAAAGGTCTTAGCGTACACATCCATTAATATATCTCCACTCTGAGTATCTTTATTTCATCCAAAAACATCAACAACAAAACTGTTTAATACACAGAATCGACAGAGATCTTCAAATTCTTCTGGTTTATATGAGCAATCTAATCGATTTTATTATTATTTTTACATATTGCATTTGTATTTTCAAAGAAATGACAACGCTAACTGCTCTAGAACGGTCCTGGCATTAAGCTGCAACCATCTTATTGATGGCTCATATCTGATGTCTCAAGTCCTTTCCTTTCACAAACAAGATATTGTGGGGGAAGATGTTGGCTCTTCTTAATCGCAGATTCATTCCTTTTCTTTACATGAATTCATCTGAATCATAGCCACCCTGCAGAGAAAAAAAAAATCACATCAAGTCATAAAAGAATTTGTGTCGATGCTCAGCAGAACATTAAGCTTTAAGGATGTATTACCTCATTTGTGGTCATGTTGTCACTCTTCATGAGTGATGAATAATTCCTACAGGAAAGTAGATGTTACAAGTAAGCAGACGAAATTGATGCCTGTACCTGTAAATGATACGTCTCAAAAACTGATTCTGATGTACAAAGGTTGTTTTTATTGTATTTATCATTTATGTATCTACAGTGGAGTCCAAAAGTCTGAGACCACACTGAAAATATTGCATAAACGTGGAGCGAAAACGGTTATTAAACAAACAGGAATTATGAAACACAACAGACATTCACTCAAACTGTTATGCCGATAACATAATTTCTAATGACATTTTTTAATCAAGTTATAAAATGGAAAAAATAAACACGTTTCACTAATGGTCTCAAACATTTGGATGCCAGTGTATTTTTTTCAAAAATGAAAAACTAATATATATATATATATTGTTTGTGTTGAGGTTATAATATGCATGGCAACATTTTAACAATATGCAGCACCTTAATTCTTCCGTCTCTTTTTTCTTCTTCGTTTCCTCCTTCTCCTTTTTCTTCTGCTCTTGTAATTCAGCCTTCTTCTCGTTTCTTTCCTCTCTGTCCCGGGACTCCTTCTCCGCAGCAAGATCAGGATACAGCTCCTCTTTTGTTTTCTCTAGTCTGTTGATGATTTCGTTGATTTTCTTTTCTACTGCCACAATTTTCACCTGTTGACATTGTATAGTAATTGGATATTTATGCAGAAGCTATTTAGAAGATTTCCAAATGCAGTAGTAATACCTGAGCGCCTTAAAGGGGTCATATGATGCTTTTTTAAAGATCATTATTTGGTGTATTTGGTGTAACTGAATATGTTGACATGCTTTAATGTTCAAAAAACACATTATTTTTCAAATACTGTACATTATTGTAAGTCCTCTATGCCCCGCCTCTCTCAAACGCTTCGTTTTCTACAAAGTCCCTCCTTCCGACAAGCGCAGTCTGCTCTGATTGGCCAGCTGACCCAGTGCTGCATTGTGATTGGCCGAACACCGCAAGCACTCGTCGGAAATGTAACGCCCCTTACCATAATCGCTAGCATCATCTATCAAAATAAATGTAAAGACAGAGCCCGAAAGGGGAACAGAGTGACAGACACAGTGATGATGCTGGTATGTGTTTGCAGTACACAAGCCACGGTTAAGACAGCTGTCTCCACTGTGATGTGACCCTCTCTCTCTCGCTCTCTTTCGCTCGCTCGCGCACACACACACACGATGCGCAAAACTCCGCATTTGAACAGTCAATAACAAATACTTAAACTAATAACAAAACAGTAGCTGATTCAGAAGCGCCAGATTGTCATAGCAAAGTCAGAATTACCTCCTCTCCTAGGTTCACGAAACGGTCGTCCATAAAATGCATTGCTGTTCTGTTGTAAGTAATCTTAAAGATTCCTAAATGCATCTACTTCCGGAAGGCCAAATAAAGTGCTTTTGCTTTCGCCTAGAAACACACAGCGTCTCCCTGACATGGCTGCTTCAACACTAACTGCGTTACTGAAACCACGCCTTCTTTCTTTGCGTGAACATTTGGGCGGCATTATGCAAATATTAACACATAGTGAGGTAGATATGTGGGGGCGTATTAGAATGAGCCGTTTTAGGGGGCGTGGCAGAGTCTTAACTTTGATAAAGCATATCTCTTTGGTTTTGAGACTTTAGTCTTTGCAACTTCAGGGATCTTATCAATGCACAATCAGCTTGTAACACTCCAAAGAGAAATTAAAACTTGAAATCGCATCATATGACCCCTTTAAATCACATAGACTTTGTTCAGACAGGCAGTGGCTGGTATTTTTTGGCATAACTGACTCAGATGAGTTTGCTTTCTGTAGTTTCAATTGCATAAAAACAAGCTCATCTATCCAAATAAAAGACCTGGACCAGAATTGGCTGCAGTGTGAACGAAATCATAGAGTTTATCTCTCCTCATACCTCCTTCTGCCGATGGAAGCCTATCTGCCCGACATCCATGTCTGCTGTTTTTTTCAGATTGCCCCATGGTGTGTAGACAACATTAATATTGTTCATTTTGCAACCTGTAAATAAAAATACAAAAAAAATCCTTTAAATAAAATTAACAAACAATTCTTGATGTTTCTTGTAAAGAAGCAGTACCTTGAATGCTGTTGTTTTTGACCAGCTGGGCACAGTCAATCAGGATGTCTTTTGGCATGTCTTCTATCGTTGTACCCTTTAATTAGTGAACATGAATGTCAGCATAGAAATATTATAAATAAAACTGTAGGTTAAAATATGAATAACCTCTCAAAATACCTTGGGCATTCTTAGATATACATGGGCAGATGAGAGCTTGTCCACATGGAACCTGCAACACAAGATACTAATATTTCTTGTACTTGGAACTAATATTTTACATCAGAGCAAATCTAGAAAGTAATAATTCATTTGTGGTGGCAAACGTTAAACAGATATTTGTTCTCACCAAATATCTTCAGGCCATCCATACTTTATAAGATCTTCATCTGTGGAAAATCAAAAACAGTTATTAACGGTCTGACAAGCACAGGATGAGGGTGTTTAAAATAATATTTCTAAGGAATTCAGTACTTACTTTCATATTTATCTTTGCCCATATAGATGGTATAGGGCGGTGAGACGACTGGAAAAGAGAAGCATGTATTCCAACTTTTAAAAAAGCACTGTTTACTCTAATTATTCTTGCTACATATCTAAAGACACACCGAACCTCCAACACACAATATGAATATCAAATTACAGTATATTGCAGTTTTGATAATCTTTCGTATAACGTTCTTATAATAGTTTCGTATTTAAACTGTTTTTGTTGACAACAAACACACTGTTTTGGCTGGGCACAGAGAACACGCTACTCACCTGCGCTTTTAAAGTAAAACACCATCTTTTTACGCAAATACGCAATCTTTGAAAGGTCTTTGTATTCAATGAATATGTATTCAACAAAACACTGAGCACATCAGAGGTAAATAATCTTCTATCAGAGGCACATGTCATGTGCACCATCCATTCCGACCACAACAGGAACAAGCAGCGCTGCAATGAAGTGATTCACTGTGAATGAATCGTTCATTTGAACCGAATCTCGCTTGAGTTCCGAACTCTGCTCACGTCAGCAAATACATCGGTGGATTTCAATAAATAAATACACTTTTTAACGTATATGCAAATTATTAATTATTTATATTCTAAATTACTTTTTTGGGGGAACTAAATAGCTGCATCAATCTGAATTGGAGCGGTCAGGGTTCTTTGAAACTAACTGTTCGAAAGAACCGATTCGTAGAGATGATTCGCACTTACCATCCCTAACCGGAACTTGTCACACACTGTCGTTGTTTTCGTTTCCGTGTGCGCCACAATTGACTTTGGCGCGTTGTTCAAAACAGACCGCGGGTGAAGGGAGAGTTTTGCCGTGGTTATTTTGCTCACCTGTTTTCATACAAAATCAAAAACAGAATCGGATTTATTTGACCTGGTAAGTTAACTACCACATATATTGTTACATTGTCAGTCTCTGAACGAGGCTTGTGATGACTGCGGGATCCTGCAAGTATTTTTAACGACATGTTGGTTTGCTGGTTTGCATCAAATAACTGGCGCCTAGAAATTAGCTGCGGTATAAATGAATGATAAGGATTGGGCGTATGTATGTGTGTGTG